TGAAGAGACTTTGGGATGAATAGAAAAGTACAAAAAAATAAAATAAATGTCAATTCTCCCATACATAGGTTACCTGGCATTAATCTTTTTTTAAATGGTTATTTATTTTTTTATTAAGGTATCATTGATATACAATCATATGAAGGTTTCACAAGAAAAACAATGTGTGTACTACATTCACCATTACCTGGCATTAATCTTTTGACAAATTTCCTTAGTTTTGAGCAAAACTCATTTTCATTTTTTTACAATTCATTTATTTTTACATATTTGAGCTCACTCTATATTGACATTTATCATGCTTTTTTTGTACCACATAAAAGCATCAACATTTTTCCTGTTACCAAATTTTGTTTGCATCACTTTAATGTCTGCATAATATTCCATTATGCGTATGCTATAATCATTTTGCTATTAAACATTTTTCTATATTGTAAATTTTACACTATCGTAAGTAACTCTTCAATGATCATCCATAGACATATATCTCTTACCACATTCCTTAGGGTGTTAATAATATTGTTATTAACAGCTGCTATGTGCCAGGTATTGTTTTAAGTACTTTATACACATTATTTCACTTCATCCACACACCCTCTGAGGTAGATACTAGTAGTATCTCTGTTACACAGCTGAGGAAAACTGAGCCTTAGGTTATTAGAAATTCTAAGAGGCCCAGTGAAGGAGCTACTCTTCTACCCCATAAAGAACCACTGCTTATAATGAAAACTTTATGATAGGAGTATATTATACATGTGAATGGAATGTAAGCACTGAGGAGAGCAGCACCAATGAGGAAACTGGGATCCAGTTGTGGGTCTGACTTCACTCAAAATGTGAGGTCTGGGACAACTCACCTTATCTCAACTGTACAATGAAGAGCATGAGTTAGATGGTCTTACATTCCTTGTAGCTCTCAAGTCTCACGATTCTAAGCATCATTTCTAGATTTCTCCTGGGGGACACACCAAGATCTTTTTCCTGTGGGTCTCAACAATATTTTATTTATCATTCAACAATCATATAGCATCTTATATACTGTTTGCTAAAAATGGAAAATGGTCAATCTGTACACATAGGAGATCAATTTACAGAATGAGAAAGAGAATTAAAACAGATTCTCATCCTAATCTTTTTGGGGTCATGGGCTTACCACTGCAGTTGATGATGAGGATCCTCTCCTTAGAAGGAAAAACCTTTGTACAAACAGAATGACTTTGGATAAAATATTAAAGTTGTCTATGGATCCTCGAAAAGGAATCCACATACCCAGTATAGGTGAGTGATTTCCTCAGGTTGGTAAGTACTGATGTAGGTTAAAAGGAAACTGGAAGGGAAGTGCAGAACTCAGTGAGTTCTTACTAGCACTCAGGCAGGTTTAAATTAAACAAACACTAGGTGGGGATTATTACTAATCACAATAATTATAAATCACTTGATAAATGTCAGGTGCTACTCTTAAGCTGCTTATAGGTTTACTTATTTAATACTCACCACAATCCTACAAGGTAAGTAATATCCCTAACTTTCAGAGGAAGATATCTGTAAGTTAGGCACAGAGAAGCTATGTGGCATGCCCACATTCACCCAGCAAGGTAAGGACAGATGTGGGATTTCAGCTTGGGTAACTGAGCTCAAGCTTATGCTCTTAACCAATAAATTTTCTATGTTTTCCGCATAAAGATGAAAGACTACCTTGGAAGAAGAGTGGCTTTGAGCAGTCATGTGTTTATCCCATGAGCATACTTGCTCCAGGTATTGCCCAGGCACCTCCCACTCCAGTGGAGACCTCTCTGGGATATTCAAATACCCAATGCTCCCTTAAGGTCCCAATGTCCACAGAGTCACTGTGTTTAAACTCCCAGAAGGCTTTAGCATCCTGGTTCAAAGACCAGTACTCTTATGACCCAAACTGACTTAGAATTAATGGGAATTTTTGCTGACAGATGGTTCTCAAGCTGCCTTAAGAGTGGAATAGAGAAACTGGATGATAATTACTACAGTAATTCTGGGGAGACTATTAAAATCAATCATAATCCCATTATCTAACAAACCAACTGTATTCACTTACCCACAGATACCTCTTCAGTTCTCACCCACATGCAAATATATTTAAATTGGGTACTACTAATAGTACATGTATTTTTTTCTGCTTTACATAATAATCATTTTCCCTGTTATTAACAAAAAAATATGTGGTTTATATCAGACACATAAAACAGACTACACACTACTAAGTGTCCCAGAAAAGGAGGACAACTAAGTAAAATATGGCATATTAATTCACTAGGGTATTATTTCCCATCTTTTGTCATAAGAACTATATCAGTTTTTACCCTTCTTTTCTATTTTTTTGAAGTAGCAATCTCTCTTTTCTTGCTTAAGGTAGTGCTGCTGTCTTTTCTAAAAACTCACCTAAAAGGTTCCTTCTCACTTTTGCATTTGAGGCTTGGTCAAGAATGCTCCTAGGCGAATTATTTTTGTAGGAACTTATGGAAAGAAAAAAATAAGGATGTATTTGTGTACTAAAATTCAATTTTGGGAGTCTTAGTCCCTCCAGGACCAAAACTCTGGTACACTAAAAGGTAGTAACAAGTTTGAAAACATTTCCACATAGATTGTATCTGTACAGCTTCTCTTCATGAGTTCTCCAATGCAAAATAGTTATTGCTATTTGTAAAAGTTTTTCCTTTCTCATTGTCTTAATATGTATTTTCTCTAATATGATTTGTCTGGTATCTAATAAAGTTAGGGCTACTAACAAGTGCCATCCCACATTGATTACATGTTAAAAACTGTTCTCCTGTGTGAGCTATCTGATGTACTATAAATGGAGAGTTCTGGCTGAAGATAATTCCACACTGATTACATTTATAGGTCTCTTCTCCAATATGAATCTTCTGATGCTTAATAAGGTCATTCTTCCGGATAAAAGCTTTTCCACACTGACAACATTCATATGGCTTCTCTCCAGTATGAATTCTCTGATGCACAATGAGGGCAGAACTCTGGCTGAAAGATTTTCCACAATCATGGCACTCATATGGTTTCTCTCCAGTATGGGTTCTCTGATGTGAGAAGAGGTGAGAACTTCGACTAAAGCATTTTCCACACTCTTTACACTCAAAGGGTTTCAGTCCAGTGTGAGTTCTGTGATGCACAACGAGGTGAGATCTCTGACTATAAGATTTCCCACATTCATTGCATTCATATGGCCTCACTCTAACATGAGTTCTCTGATGCAGAATGAGATGTGTGCTCTGTCTGAAAGTCTTCCCACATTCAGGACACTCATATGGTTTCTCTCCAGTATGAGTTCTCTGGTGCCTAATAAGCCGGGAGCTGTGAACAAAGGACTTCCCACATTGATTACATGTGTACAGCTTGTCTCCTGTATGAGTTCTCTGATGGGTAACAAGGTGAGAGAACCAGCTGAAGGATTTTCCACATTCTTTACATTCATAAGGCTCTTCCCCAGTGTGAGTCTTCTGATGTCCAGTGAGGTGAGAACTCCGGCTGAAAGACTTTCCACATTCTTTACATTCATGGGGTTTTTCTCCAGTATGAATAAGTCGGTGCCTGGTAAGATTAGAGCGCCAGCTGAAGAATTTTCCACATTCCTTACATTCATAGGGTTTCTCTCTATGTATACTCTTTGATATACCAAGGGATGTACTATGAGGAACAGAGTTGTTATTATCAGGGTATTTGTAGGATTTATCTCCTGTTTGAGTTCTTGGAAATTGAATAAGGTGAATATTTTGACAGAAGGTTTGACTACATTCAGTACTGTTAGTTGCATAGCTTTCTTGATGACTGCTAAAAACTAAATTAGGTTTTAAACTTTTAGTATGTGAGTCATGTTTATGGAAATATTCTCTCAATACTAGCTGAGCAGGAAGAAGACCGTTTCCGCCATATTTACCATTTTCAGAAACTCTCTCTGTAGTCAGTACTTTCTTCTGGGTAAATGCCACTTGCCTTAAATGTCTCTCTTGGTTTTCTGGATACTTGTCAAGTTGGTCTTCACACTTCCAGACTTCTTCTAGTGACAAATACCAGAGGTCATTCTTTGTCATTCCTTCCATTTTAATGCCATAAGACTGTTTATCTTTATAAATGCTCTTACTGGAAATTGATTTGATTTCAACTGCAGTCTCCAAATCTGAAAGAAATTTAAAAATGCTGGGTGACTTAAAAAAGTATTAAGGTCAGAATGGTGGAATATACATGGAGACAAAGTATGTAAGCTGTGTAGAGTTGCTTTCAAATATGAGGTGCTGTGGCCTTGATAGTGAATGAGAAAGGGAAGGGTAGAGCAGCAAATGTATCAGGCTATCTGTACATAACAGAAGCAAAGACAGCAAAGACCAGCCATGGGACTGGGAGGGATACGTGCCATCAGGATACTCAGCAGTAGAGGTGGCAACCCCACAGAAGCACTGCACTCCCATTAGCTACTCTTAATAAGAGCCTAAAATGTCTGCTTATTGCCAGCCCCTTTCCTTGGCATGCATTCACACTACCTACTGCCAATTTCATATTCCTAAACCACAAATGCAGCCATATATAAGGCAATACCTTTCATCTACATCACCAAAACATTTCAGAATAATGCCCAGATGACTGACAAAACAAACTTCTCAGAAAGTCCATGTGATAGGCTGGTAGAGCAATTGCACAGATGTTACCCAGATACAAGTTCTAATCTGAGCTTTAACAGTACTAAGGGTGAATTTAAACAAGTTGATAAATTTTTCAGACATCATTTTGTTTATCTATAATCAAAGGACAATAGTGTTTGTCATATAAGATTATTTTAAGTGTAACATAAGATATGAGCATATCAGTCTCTGACACATGTATGGTCAAAGGAATACCACTTAGAATAATCATTATTATAATTGTTCATGTCTTCTACTTTGACTCCTTTATTCTGAGACATCAAGACTTAGCAACCACTAGGACTAACATGACAGGGCACTTACTCAGAGCCCAGAACCTAACTCATTCTTTGGGACTTTTGGTCTTTCTGTTTACACCCATATATGTTACCGCAAATTACTTCCCTGGTTAAGAGCCTGTGTTTGTCTCTCAATGCCTTTCAGGTTAAAATATTTGGTTCTAAACCAAGAAAAACAACTATTTACACTACTACCTCTTCCCACAAAGACATTCGACTCTTAACTAGTATATGGATTGAACTGTGTGCCTCAAAGAAGACATGCTGAAGTCCTAACCCCCAATATAGAATCACTGTAGATGTAATTAGCTAAAATGAAGTAGTACTGGTGGGGAGGCTAATACAATATGAGTACTGTCCCAGATTCAGAGACAGACACACAGGGAGAAGCTATGTGAAGATTGAGGCTGACTGCAGGGATGGGTCTACAAGCCAAAGAGCACTTGGGGATACCAGAGCTTGAAGAGGAAGGAAAGATCCTCCCCTAGAGCCTTCAGAGAGACTGTGGTCCTACCAACACTTAGATTTCAGACTTATAACTTCTAGAACTGTAAGACAATAAACGTATGTTGGCCTAAGCCCCCCAGTTTGTGGAACTTTCAGCAGCCCCAGGAAACTAATACATGTGGTAAATAATCCCTGTGCCTATTAATAAATTGTCCTTATTTACCCAAAGAAAACAAAATCCCTGATTTGAAAAGACATATGCCCCTTATGTTTATTGCTGCACTATTTGCAATAGCCAAGATATGGAAGCAACTTGAGCATCCATCAATAGATGAATAAATAAAGAAGATGTGTCACAAATACATAATGGAAAATTATTCAGCAATAAAAAGAAAAGAAATCCTGCCATTTTCCACAGCATGGATGGATCTAGTGGGTATTAAGCTCAGTGAATTAAGCCAGGTGGAGAAAGACAAATATCACATGATTTCACTTATTTGTGGAGTATAAAAATAAAACAAACAATGAGCAAAAGAGCAGTAGACTCATAGACACCAAGAAGGGGCTAGTGGTTACCAAGGGGGAAGAGTTGGGATGAGTGGAGGGGAAGGGGAAGGGGATAAAGGGCCACAATAATTTGCAATCACAATATAAGCTGATCATGAGAATGGTAGTACAGCTTGGAGAATAGAGTTAATGATTCTGTAACATCTTACTATGTTGATAGATAGTGACTGCACTAGAAAGGTTGAGGAATTAATAGTATGGGTAACTGTTGAACCACTATGTTGTATATTTGAAACCAACATAAGATTGTGTATCAATGATACTTTAATAAAATAAAGTATTTGTACATTGCAGAATTTCTTTTTAAGGCTGAATAATATTCCATTGTGTGTGTATATATATATATACTGTCTCCTTGATGATTTTTCATAGGAAATATACCATCCTTTCCCCCAGAGCATCAGAATCCCATACAGAAGTTCTTCAAACTATAAATGCCAGCTGGAAAGTTCAAAGATGAACATGTGATAAGTGAGGGCTGAGTACTGATGGAGAAGGAATCTGAGTAGTTTTTGAACACATAAATGGAGAGCTTGCCTTCATTAAAATCCTAAAAGTCTTCCATGTTATGTAACCACTCAAATGAGTTGTCTTCAAAATCTATAGTATCCACTAATCAACTCATCTAAATTTTTAAACCCATTGCTCACTATACTTTTCTTTTCACAATGAAGTTCACATAGTCTTGTACAGCCCTTTAAATTCCAAGTGTTTAAGCACATGAAGTTTCAGTATTTTTTTTTACAACAAATTCTAAATAAAAATAGGAAATGCTGGATATGGTCAGTTATTTTTGGATAGTTGTCAAAAGACATCCAGGAAAGCTTGCCAAGTGAATGAACATATGAAAAGAAAAAATAGAGAAATGAAAGAATACAGAGAACAATCTTTCCTCCCACGGACCCACATGGCTGACTGATCAACTTCTTAACTGTATTTAAAGACCTGCCCTTGAAACACGCATTTGACAGTCACCTACAAGAAGAAATGTAGAAAAAAGTCAAGAACACTTTATATTTAAAAGTAGACTTAATGTGGAAGGTCACAAAGGGAAGGGGCCTATACTCAATGAGGAGTTTCACCAAGGACAACTAAGACTCTGACAGATTTTACTCATATTCTACTCAAAGCCTGCGTGGGATGCAGGTAAACGCCTGATAGGTGTGGACGCTAGTTTCCAGATGGAAGCAACTGCAGGCTGTTAGAACATGACTAAATTCACAGGACTTAGGAAGCCATGTGTCTGTGGGAGCCTGCAGAGTCCTGGAGAGTGTCCTAGCTGTTCTGCACCACGGGAGGTAGACTATCTGCAGCTTGATTCAGACAGCCATACCCAAGATGCTGAGGAAACAGATGTCAGAGTGTTGAGCTCAAAAACAAAGCTCAGGGAGGACACTGCTTTACGAAAAATGGAGGGAGCAGACAAAAGACTCCTTTTTATTTCTTTACCTGGAAAGCTAACTTCCAGCACAAAGGGAAGTTGGGGAAAGGGGTGATGTTAGGAATCCACGTAATGATTTACATTTTTGAGACATTAAGATTAAAATGAAATAGGAATAAACTGAAAAAGCATTAAATAAAGACTACAGTGAGAAGAGTAGCGGTTCAAGAAAGTAAGGACAGCTATGCCAACAGGAATGGGCAACCCTCTGCCTTGGTTTTCTGACTGGCACAGGACAAACTGTGAATGGTGCCATGTGAGGAAGTCCCATTGTGGAGCTCACACAAAGCAGCAGAATGCAGGCTGTGGGGAGGAGCCAGATGAACGGGAAAAGACAAAGGCAAAAGAAGCGATTCCATGAAAAATTAAAGAATGGGGATGCCAGAGTTACTGCTAATCATAAAAGCACTATGAACAGGCTGACACCATGCACATCAATGGAAAAATAATTTTAGTAAAGGAGAAAGACACCTTTGTCTCTGAATGCAAATTGAAGTGTGACAGGATTGTAGAAACAAGACTAGCAATGGTGAAGAGAGGGACAGTAAACTCAAGTCTTCTCCTCAGAAATGAAGAGAACTAAGGACCACTATCTCCAGGGATTCTAGCCCCTAATAGGTCATCTGGGCAACCACCTGCAAAGCCTCATCTGGTCCTCACCTGGATGGTTCTCCTGGTGAATCCCTCTCTCTGCCAGCCATGGCTCTTCTCCTTTCTCCAACTGGAGGATCACATCTGGCTTGGGAAGTTGATGTCCTGTTCACAGTAAAAGATAAAGAATTGGGTGAGGGTTGGGGATCTCTGGGCCAGACAGAGAAGCATCCCAGGTTCAACCCCACCCCCAACTCCTGCAGACTCCTACAGGTACTCTGAAGAATAGACAAAGTGAGGCTATAGAGGTAGTAAAATATGCATTTTTAAAACCTGAACAAATCTAAACAATTTTTTTCACAGAAGCAGAAGGGAGTAAAACCTTGTTCTATGCCCCAAGGAAATTAGGTCCCTTACCCTGGGCTCACATTCTGATATATGCTTCAAGGTCACCATACCTTTTCATCAATGAAGAATCAAAATCATTGCAGGGAATATATATCCAAAAACAGACATTGGTCTTACCCAAGGAAATCAGGTTCTTATAGTTCTCCAACATCACATCTTTGTACATGATCTGCTGGGCAGTATCCAACAGCTTCCACTCCTCCTGAGTGAAGTTCACAAGTATGTCCTTGAAGGTCACCAGTGTCTACAATATGGAACAAATCTGTATTAAGTCAGATGTACATCTTTTCCCTCCCTTTCCTGAATACTGACAGAAAAGGGGATCAGGCTAATAGCAACAGGGCAGAGGAAGGTGACCAGAACTTATTCCTGAAATGAGTAGTATTATGGATTCTGATTAAGTCCTAAAAGGAAAGGTATCTCCTGTCCAAAAAGTTCCACGCGTTAGGTTTAGAACGGGTCAGAAGCACTTTTATTTAAATCAAGTTTATTATAAACAGCTATAGCAAGAAGAACCATGACACCAGAAGCTATCTATGCTTTTATTATATGAAATAAAGAACCTAATGCGAGACAGGGAAAATGACAAAAACATCCTTGAATTCAAGTACAACTTAATTCTTAAGAAACCAACCTAGCTGTGTTTTATTAAATAGATAGTTTTCTAAAATAATTATCCAAAACACTTTCCCTAAACATTGATAGGCATAAAGAAAAATGGATGAGTAGCAAAAAAATTTGATAAAGAAATAACAGATAAAGAATCAAGGTCTTTCTTAGGTACATCAAAAAGGAGTGTTGATTACATACACAAAAAACACCGAATTGAATGACTGAAGATTTCTCACCAAAGACCATGAAGGTCAGAAGACAGTGGGTAATATTTATTAAATGCTGAAAGAACTGTCAAGCCAGAATTTCTACATTCATTAAAAAAATATTTCAGGAATGTGCAAAATACATTTTCAAATGAAGTTAAAACTAAAACAGCAGACTAAAACTAAAACTGTTATGAGCAGACCTGCTCTGAAAGACACATTAAGGGTATTTCTTCAGGCAGAAGTGAAATGATACCAGAGAGAAATTTTACATCTCAGAAATAAAGGGTGAGCAACAAAAACAGTAAATATCTGGGTAAATATAATAGACTAGTTTTCTGCTCTTAAATCCTTCAAAATATGTAGGACAGTTAAAAGCAGCAACTACATTTTCTGGTGGGGTTTCTATAGATGCAGAGGTATTACTTGAAGGATCTTCTGGGGGAAGAAGCTGAATAAGGTACAAGGAGCCCAGTCTCCCACTCTCAGCACTCTCAGGTCTCCCAGAGGTCCCATTCTTCTCCTAGTTCTTTGCACCTGGTTGCAGTTACCCATTGATAATTATGTAAGTTGTCCCTGATCTCTTCTGAACAGGAACTCCCCCATGGAGGAATTAAATGCCAGCACCACACCCAGGACAGTCAAGGACATAAGAAACCCTGGGAGGCACCAACTATTCCAGTTTTCTTATCATCTGTTGGGGAGGAAGCTTGCTGTGGGTTCAGTTCCTTAGTGTGGATGAAAGAGCATTTCAAACAAGTCCTCCATATTATGCCACTTGACTCCTGCCCACATTATTGTTAAACTTGTTTCTTTTAAATTAAGCTATAAAGTATAAAGGTATACTTTATATGTATATATTTATATATAAAAGCATTAAAAGTACAAAAGGAAAACTGTAACTACAAATAAAGCAAACAAAATAGTGCTAGTCCTAAGCAAAGCAACTTTAGAACTTAAGTAAAGTGGGATTCTCAATTGTAAAACAAAGAAGGCAGCCCAACTTACATGGGACCCAGCAGTTAAAGACTCAGTGTCCATGCCCTCCTTGTTCTTGATAATGCTTTCTTGAGTAACGGGACACCCTGAGAAGACAAAGCTGGAGAAAAGAAAGAAACATGAGGAAAGTTTGCTGTGACTGGGATGCTTCATAGATCGTCAGCCTAGACTCCCTCATACCAGCTGGGTGTAACGCAAACCCCTACTATAAAAAAAGAAACATCAAAGATATTCCAGAAATCCACCTCAATGACTGAAATTTCTAAGAGTAGGAAGAATAGCTACATTGATCACCTTTTTCCCCTTTAATTTCTAGAATTCCACGCTGAATTTTATTTGGAATCAAGTAGTTATATTACAAACCCTCTTTTTTGAGGAAAAAAAAAATAACCTGACTGATCCATTACTGACCTGGAGGTGGATGGTGTCACATGGCGAGGGATGCGGGCAGTCTGTGTGAGCTACGAGCAGCACCCGATGACAGCCAGCAAGGAAAGAAGGACCTCAGTCCTATAGCCACAGGTAACCGAATTCTGCCAACAGTTGCAGTGAACTTGGAAGTGGAGTTTTCCCCAGGGCCTCCAGATAAGAATTCTGGCTAGCCAATACCTTGATATTGGCTGTTGGATATCTAAGCAGAAAACCCATCCACACTGTGTCAGACTTTTACCCATGGAACTGTGAGCTTGTAATGGGAACCGTTTGAAGCTGCTAAGTTTGTTACACAGCAACAGAAAACTAACACAGGGTCAATTATCTTTTTTTAAATATTGAAACTTAAGGAAAAAATATTATATATTTACCGACATAATGACCATTGTCAGTGCTGTTCATTCTTTTCAGAAGATCCAGACTTCAGTTTGGTTTCATTTCCTTTCTCCCTTAGGGACATCTTTTAACATTTCTTGTAATGTGGGTATGCTGGTAATAAATTCTTTCAGTTTTTATATTTCTCACAATGTCTTTATGTTGCCTTTTTTATTTTACAGCTTTGAGATATAACTCACTCACATATCATACAATTCACCCAAGGTGTACACTTCAATGTTTTTCGGTATGTTACATTAATCTTTTAAACAATGGTAAAATATATATACCAAAAGTTGCCACTTTAACCACATTGCTAAGTGCACAATTCAGTGGCATTCATTATATTCACAATGTCGTGCAACTATCACTAGTAATTCCAACACTTTTTCATCACCCCAAACAGAAGCTCTGAAACATTAAATGGTAACTCCTCACTCGTCCCTCCCCTCAGACTCTGGTAACCTCTAATCTGCTTTCTCTCTGTGATTTGTCTATTCTAGATATTTCATATTACTCACATATCATACAATTCACCCAAGGTGTACACTTCAATGTTTTTCGGTATGTTACATTAATCTTTTAAACAATGGTAAAATATATATACCAAAAATTGCCACTTTAACCACATTGCTAAGTGCACAATTCAGTGGCATTCATTATATTCACAATGTCGTGCAACTATCACTAGTAATTCCAACACTTTTTCATCACCCCAAACAGAAGCTCTGAAACATTAAATGGTAACTCCTCACTCGTCCCTCCCCTCAGACTCTGGTAACCTCTAATCTGCTTTCTCTCTGTGATTTGTCTATTCTAGATATTTCATATAAATGGAATCATACATTTGTCCTTTTACATCTAGCTTGTATCACTTAGCATGTTTTCAAGGTTCATCCATGTTGCAGCATGTGTCAGAACTTCCTTTTAATGGCTGAGTAATATGCCATTATATTAAACCTTTTGTTTATCCCTTCATCTGTTGACAGACACTCAGGTTGTTTCCATCTATTGGCTATTGTGAATAATGCTTCTGTGAACACTGGCATGCAAGTATCTGCTCAAGTCTCTGCTTTCAGTTCTTTTGGGTGTATTCCTAGAAGTGGAATTGCTGGGTCATATGGTAATTCTATGTTTAGCTTTTTGAGGACCCACTTAACTGCTTTTTTCCATAGTGGTTGGATCATTCAACAGTCACATCAGCAACACACAAGGGTTCCAATTTCCCCCCATGCTTGCCAACACTTGGTACTCTATTTTTTACATTATTATAGTAGGTGTGAAATTATAGCTCATTGTGGTTTTGATCTGCATTATTTTCATGTGTTTATTGGTATTTGTATGTCTTCTTTGAGAAAATGTCTGTTCAAGTCCTTTGTCCATTTTTAAATTGGGCCAGTCATTTGTCTTTTGTTGTTGAGCTGTAGTTCTTTATATATTATGGATATTAAACTCTTATCAGAAATATGATTTCCAAAAAGTTTCTCTCATTCTGAAGGTTGTCTTGACTTTGTTGTTGAAATATATTTTTTCAGAATATAGAATTCTAAGTAGTTCATTTTCCTTTCAGCGCTTTCTAGATATAGCTCCATTCCCAGTGCTTTGGGAATTAGAAATGTTTTCCAGTCTAGCTAGTGGTAATAAGCAATATGCCCCATGTGAGTGTCAGGTTCTATTCCCTCTAATCCTTTAGAGGACTCTTTCCCTGGCCTCAGGTGGTTTCCTCAAACACATGTGCCCATCTATGCTCTCAGTTAATCAAGGGCCAACCCTCCTCTCTATTCTGTCCTATGAACTTAAAGGCTCCTTTGCTTTCCCCAGATTCTCAGCTCCATACCCTAGACTCCGGGAGGCTGGAGGGCTCCACTTCAGTTTCACCTTCCTCTGCAGTAACCTGGAAACCCTCTCAAGGCAATAAACCAGTGCAATAAGAGGGCTTACCTCGTTGGTTTTCCATCTCCCAGGGATGACTATCCTTTGTTGTCTGTTATCCAGGGTCTTGAAATGATCATTTCATGTATCTGTCTTTTTGTTTATCTTGTTTGGGGAGAAGGATAAATCCACTTTCTGTTACTCCGTCTTGGCCAGAAGCCTATAAACACTGCATTTTTAACTTGTTTTAAATTTAGATTGTATTTTTAATTTCCATCTTTTGAACACCAGGCTTGAGTATTTCCCATGTGCTGACAATCACTGCTCTGTTTTCTTTCATATTGTTTGACCCCTTATTTCGATTCCTCTTTTACATGAATAACAGGACCACTACAGTTTCTGCCCCACCACACCACTAAAATGGTTCTCACCCATGACCCCTATTATACAGCTCAATTATAACTGGCCTCTTAATTATTCAGGAAGCTCACTATTTGCTCCCCTTCTCACCTAGTTTTCCATCTTGATTGTTCTTAGTCTTCTCTAATGATTTCAAAAATTGTGCCTAGCTTTCAAAAATTGTGCTGCATCCTCAGTCTTTTCCAATCTCTGTTTAACAACCACCTGGGCACCTCAGGACACCTTATCTACCTACTTTATCCCCACTGTCTATCCCATTGCACAGCACACAACAGGGATGTTTTTGGCCAGGATGACTAAAACACTCTATTCTATCCCATCTTTCCCTCAATAGGTAACCTCAGTACCTATTTCCAGTGTGGTTAACAGCCTGGATTCTGCAGCCAGACTGCATGGGTTCAAACCTGTGCTCCACTATTTACTAGGTGGTTTCTTAACCCCTCAGTATCTCAGTCTTTTCTTCTGTAAAATGGGGGTTAAATAGTGCCTATCTTACAAGGTTATTATGGGAATTAAATGAGTCAATGATTGCAAAACACATAGAACAGTGCCTGACACTGGTAGGATTACTTGTTAATTAAATAAAATATATGACTTCTAGAGACCCATAAACGCAAGTGTCCTTCTTTATTTTGTTCTCATATAACATCCAGTCAGCTACTACAATCTGTAAATTTCCCCTCCTGAATGTTTCTTCCATCCACCTATTCCTCTAGGTTCCTCCTGCATGGTCTTGGTTCAGGCCCTCACAATTCATGACCTAGAGACTTCCTACTTGGCTTCTCTGCCTTTGGTCTTTCCCACTCCAATGAGTGTCCACATCAGAATCATCTCTGCAAAACACAAGTCTCACTCCTTGAATAAAGTTCTCTGTTGGTCTTCCAGTACTTATAGGAAAATGGACCAAATCCTTAGCATGGATTTAGGAGTCTTTGTGATTAAGCCCTTTTCCACCTCACTAGCCCTAAGTGTTCCATTAAACTGCCACTTTTCCCATAACCACACCAAGCCATGTGAGTTGTCTCACCATCGTTATGTTTACTGTTTCTATGCCAGGAATGCTCTTCCCTTTCTTGACCTCTTGGCAAAATCCTATCCACCCTACAAGATCAAACACCACCCATTTCTGTGTCATTCCCTCATGTCTCCAGAAAGTTTTACGGTTGTTCAGTTTAGGGACTGTACACCCACAGTCCCCAAAGCACATGAAGTACAGCAAGAGAGGGCCATGTCCACATGGAGTGACGGCAACCTGTGCTACACCCAGTTCTGACCTTGCTTCATACCCGGAAGATTTAAGAACCCTGGCTAATAGGAAACACGCTACAAGGAATACTACAGGTAAAAGTGTACTGTAAGCAAAATAGAGACATTACAGTAGGAAACTTGTCTTACCTTAAATAAAAATGTTAAAAACCTCAAATGTTTTAAAACTATATGCTACTGAGCCTTTGGTGCTTGAATTATGTGATGAAAACCAAGGAAACATCATTTCTAGGAGTATTTCTCCTTTAACAGAAACATTTTCTCATCAAATTACAAAGAAAAGGAATGGGCCACTTCCATAACATTTTTTAAGATGAGGATATAAAAGAAGGAACAAAGTGCATGAAGGTTCTTAGAAAAAAAAAATCCCACTCATCTTTTCTTGACAATTGAATTTATAAACAGAACTGTTTATCTCATTCCTTTTCATCCTTTATTCTTATTTTCTATCTCCTAGTAAGGTTTTAAAGTTTTCTCATATAGTTCAGGCATATTTCTAGTTAAAATTAACATTAGATATTTTCTTCCTATTATGAACAGACTTTCTTTTACAAAGGTTATGTGCTAACTTGTTATTGAAGACAGTAAAGCAATCTGTTAACTTACACATTTCCTTTCACTCACTTTACTAAAAATTCATTGATGTTAAATGAATCTCTTATATCTGTTGGATAGTTAATTAATAAAGATAACTGTGTAATCACTTTTCCTTACATCTATTTTAATACTGTATGGTCCAAAGCTGAATTTTGAGACAATGTTTATACAAAATATTGATTAAGCCAACTCATATATATCTCAAATCCTTGTCTTGTGACTGGCACATGCTAAGAGCTCAAGAAATATGTGTTGAAAGAGGGAATGAAAGAACAAATGAACAATTTTCAAGAAGAGGCAGGAATGTGTGCAATTCACCCTAAGGCTTTGCAAGACAGAGGGACCATTTTGGTGAAACAGGAAAGGAGGAGATTATGTCACAGAGAAGTTAGTGTAGTGCTGAAGTGGTTTAAGAATGAGGAATTTGTGCTATTTACTTCTAGTTAACTGTAGTTGATTATAGTCAACATCTCTAACTTGATGGACTTTTTATTAGCTAGCCTTCTGGATGACATCCTGTCTTCCCTTTTAATCCTTTTTTTTCCTTGTACAGTATATTTCTGTTACTAAGGCATAGATATAATTGAAGTTCTTCACCTTCTCCACTGAGTTGGGGTGTGATCTTTGTAATCTTGAGCCAACCTTATTTTTTATATTCATACTAGATATTAGGTGCTACACATCATTCTAATTATTTTAACAACTCTCTTATCAATGGTAAATAAAATTATAATTAAATTTATGAGCTGTCTCTGAAAAATAAAACTAAGTTAAACACATAAACACCTTCAGTTAATCTTTTTAATTTTTGTTAAAAAGCTTAAGATCAGGAGGCTAGGAATTTGCAACAAGGATGGTGCTACAGGGTATTATGCTCAGTGAAATAGCCAGGCAGGAAAAGACAAGTACTAAATGATTTCACTCATGTGTGGAGTATAACAACAAAGCAAAAACTGAAGGAACAAAACAGCAGCAGACTCACAGAACAAAGAATGGACCAACAGTTACCACCGGGAAAGGGACTGGGGTGGGATAAGGGGATTAAGGGGCATTATGATTAGCACACCTAATATAGGATGGGCACGGGGAGGGCAGTATAGCACAGAGAAGACAAGTAGTGACTCTATAGCATCTTATTATGCTGATGGACAGTGACTGTAATGGGGTATCTGGTGGGGACTCGGTAACAGGGGAAATGTAGTAACCACAATGTTGCTCATGTGAAACCTGAGCATAAGATTGTATACCAATGATACCTTAAAAAAGAAAAGAAAAGAAAAAAAGAAGAAGGTCAGGAGGCTAGGAGGTAGAGATATGAAAATGTTTTTCAAAAGACCACACATAAATCTGATCAATCTTAACCACTGAAAATATTGGTAAGATGGGCGATTTTAAGGACAATAACTGCCAAGATAACTTTAATAAGAGGTAAAGTTTTTTTTAAATGAGTATTTTTAAACTAGATCAGGAAATGGAAATCGATACAGTCCCTTCTGCCAGAAACCTATTAATAGACCTACTTCATCAACGGCCGTCCCGTATAACTTCTATAGAATCCAGTGGTTTATATTCATAAAAACCAGTACACATTCGTTGGATGTCTCCTTGGAACTTAAGGCTCCTACTGTTAAGAAATTTCCCACTCTGACCAAAAGGAGCACGACCATTTGTAACAGATGCTAGGAAGGCCGCACACAGGCTGGACCGCTCGTATACGCGGGGCCAACGCCGGGGGGGCGCAGGTGGCTTCCACCTGCCCTGCCGCCGCCCATCTATTCTCCACACCCGAACGCCTGCTGCTAGCGCGCTTCTAGAGGCCCACGCCAGGGGGAAACGAGCACTCATGCGCGGGGAAAGCCCAGTCACGGGTGAAAAATTAGTGAGGCATTTACCGTCCACCCTCCGCGCTGAGGCCGCCGCACCGCAATCTGACAGAAACATCAGCGTGTGACGGAGACGTGCGGCAGGCCGCTCCACAAGTCCCTGATCCGAACCTCCAGGCTCGGGGGTGGCGCGCCAAGCAGCGGGAAGGTAGGCCCACTGCCTGTCGGTTCCAAGGCCGGGCGGCGCGCTCTCCCCTTGCCTCCCGCCGCTCCCAAAGCACCCGGCCTCACGCCGTTCTCAGGACAGACGCGGACGCGCACACGCCCATACCCTATCCCTCACGCACGCTGGGCGTGCGCGCTGCAGTACCTCGGCGAGGATCGTATCCCTCACGCAAAGCCCAGAATCCCTCCGCGGGGCGGGGCGGGGTAGGGTAGGTACTCCTGGGAAATGTAGTCCCGACCTGGCTCTGCCGGGTAGCGGAGCGCAAGCACTATCGCGCACCTTTCTCATTTCGGTTGGGGTTTTGGGTGCTACTGCTGTAGTAGCTCGCACACTCCTTTCGCAAATTTGGCGGCCAAGCGGTTCCAAAGGTACAAAAGTCAGGTACCCCGAGGCTAGGGGAGCCCATTGGAGTGAGTATAGGTTGAGGAGCCGCGACCAGTGAGAGGACACCGGGAGCGGCCACTGCTGCTCTCAGCACTCATCTGAGTTCTTCGGTGTCTGGGCCCTCTCTGCCCTAAAAGCAGCCGGGGAGACGAGGGCTGAAAAGGACAGCCGTGCTGGGAGCGTGGAGGGTAGGGGATCTCGGGAAAGGCTTCCTCGGCGAGGCCCTTTCCTAGGCGGGTATTCCGCTGAACTGAGAACGTTCCCTGCTGCCGGGCGGGAGGTCGAGGCTAGGGCAGCGAACCGAGCGGGCGTCCGCGTGGGAAGTCGGCCTTGCCTCTGTGAGCTGGGCAGCAGGAGTGCCTTAGACTTGACTTTATCCAGGTGCTTTTCTTGAATCTGCCTTTATCCCTTAATGTAGTAATGGGTTGCTTCACAGTAAGGAGTTACCATTTCTCTAAGCCAAACCTTAAATTAAAAAGAAATTCCAAATTATACGAACCTTATTTGGACCAGTAGTCAAATTGCATTGAAAAAAAAAAAGAAAGATAACAAAAATTCTAACTCTGCCTATGTATTTGACACTTAAGGAATTTTAGTTAGTTTGTAGGTGTGATAATCTGGCTATGAATTATAAGGTCATTGAGAGAAATTCTGAAATTTTTACAAATAATTCATTCCCAAACCTACTTAAAAATAGAGAGATGGGTATAAAAGTGTTGATTATACTCTCAGATTATATTAAAATAATAGTTTTTCTGCTTCTCCCATTCTTGCATTCCTGCTTGAATGTGATGCTTCTTTAGTTACACTAGTGTATTCAATTTGTTGATATTTTACTTAGGATTTTTTTTTGTGTTCAGAATTAAGACTGCACTCTTTCTTTGTACTACTCTTGCAATACTATCCTTTGTACTGTACTAAAAAGATTTTACAAGTGTCAGGAATAATTTGGAAAGCATAGGTTTTTACTTTATTCTGTAAAATAATTTTCCCTTGAAGGTTTGAACTCAAAACCTTTAGGGGTAGATAATTTGACCTACAATTCAGGTTTTTTATGGTGGTTCATTGATTGAGATTTTGTAGTTCTTGCTGACTCAATTTGGGACACCTGTGTTTTTCTAGGAAATTATTCATCTCATTGAATTTTCAAGTTTGTTGGCATGAAGTTATTGTTGGCATCCTATTCTTTTTCAGTGATTTTAAAATATAACTGCTTGCACAAGATCACTCCTTGTAACTGTAGCTTTCTTTTGAGTCAAGTATGTTTCTTGGCTATCTTATTTTTCTTGATTAGTCATGTACATCTACATTAATCATTTCAAAGAAACATTTGTGGTTTTGTTATTTGTGTTTCAGTTTTCCTTATGTCTTTGTATTTTGGTTTTAGTCACTTTTGCTATTTTTAAATTTCTTTTACTTTGGTGTTTTTTCTACTTCTTGATTGCTTAATTCATGTACTTTCTCTGTTAATTTATTTACTTTCCAAGAAATGTGTACATACACTTGTATATATGTGTAGTATATCAAAAGGTTCATAATAAAAACAAGAGGTCCCTATTTCTCCTAAGTGGCAACCACTTTCAAACATTTAAGCAGTTGTGACTTTGAACTGTTATTTTTTTTTTTAATCAGTTTGAGACAATTTTCAGTTTCTTACCATGTTAAATGAGAATTTTGATTGTTACACCTTGCTTTCCCTTACATTCTTAAATCACAATGTAATTATATTGCAGGGATTGTAATTCTCTCACAAATTTTGGTTAAATCCATGTTCAGTGTTTTCATTGTGATAACTATATAGTTTTTACCGCTGAGCCATATTTCTTTCTTGTACAAATTCTACTTCTATTTCTTAACAATTGCCTTTTTTATTCATTGCTTTGTTTTCATTAAACCTATGTAAAATGCCTCTAAATATAATTTTGCTCAAGTTCAAACCTGTCATACAATATTGTCCTTCACTTTTTTCCTGACCACATATTCCCAGGAGTCTTCCATCCTCCTACAATCTAAACTGATCAGTTACTGTCCAGGCATGTAGCTCACTGGCATACTGGACTTTGCTTTATCCTCACCCATTCTCTCATCTCATCTCTGTATTGATCTCTTTTCTGGAAAAGGGTCCATATGAGCTATGTATCTTAAGGTTGTATATGACTAAGTATTGCTTTATTTTGTCCTAATTTACATGGCATTTTGGCCTGGCATGGAAGTCTTGAATAGGAAATAATTTTCCTTCAGAATTTTGAAAACTTACAAAGCTAGATGGAAAATGGTAATGTTACTGTTGAGAAGTCCTGTTCCATGCCTGTTACTGTTCTTTTGTGTATAACCTACTTATCATCTTTTGAAACTTTTAGGTTCCTCAGTTTATTTTTGGTGTTAAAAATTTCATGATATGTGTAGCTGCAGTCTTTCAAAAAAAATTACCCATTTTTTAAAGGATGGATCAATCCTTAAATACTTTGGTATTTTTAGAAATTTTCCCTTTATTTGTTTCATTCT